TCTGACAGAAACTGCTCTTTTTCAAGGACAGCTCTTGTCAGAACGATGGCTTGTCCAAGGTCATCCAGCAGGTGCAAGTGGAGGAGTGGGGGAATCAAACCCAGTTCTCCCAGATTAGACTCCGCACACTTAACCACTACACCAAACTGGCTCTAGCTCAGGAGTGGCCAAAATGTGGCTCGGGAGCCGCATGCGGCTCTTTCACACCTATTGTCCGGCTCCCAACAGGGCAGATGGGGAAGCTAAACATCATTAGCAAACATATCACTGGACAAATAAACATCATTATCAATATCTGCTTTTACCGCTTTTGTTATTATTTTGGGCAGTCTCATCTGGTCCATGGGGTCTCGAAGAGTCGGACTCAAATGTGCGACTGAACAACAACATTTAATGTTAATAAAAAGCAAATTTGCATATTTCCCAGTAAAAACGTGTAATATTTGTTCATACCTTGCGGCTCACAAACATCTGACGTTTATTCTATGTGGCTCTTACGTCAAGCACGTTTGGCCACCCCTGTTCTAGCTGCTTCTTTTCCTTCTGGGGGGTGGGGATAACAGCCTGGCATGGCAAGCATCTCCCCCTCACCTTTTGCAATCCAGGGCATGGAAGTACGCTGGTGGTAGCACCAGACAGGAGGAGGCATTGTTTGTTGGTGTGACATGGAATGTAAATTACTTTGCTTCACTGGCTACCATCTTCACTGTCCTTTTGCTCTTTGGGCATTGTGTAAGTGATCAGCGGTGGGAATTACTGCAACAAAAATAGCCCGCGACCATAAGAAGGAATTCTCTCTCCAGCTGTGTCCTGCAGAGATAACAGCAGCCTCTGCCAACTCGGAAGGCATTTGGAGCAAGGAGTAAATAAAACATGCCGCAGAAAGGGAACACCACAAAGGACTCGTTATTTCTCAGTCCAAATAGCCCTCTTGTTAAAAGGTGAAATATCGTTCTCAGACGGCCAGTGGATGTGACTGGCGCAGGCAACAGTTTCCTGGGGCCAGACACCACCCCCAAAGGATGTTACCTTACAGTTCCCCACCTTCCCCATTGCTCTGGAGGAATTAAGTGGGGAATTTTTTTTGAAGTTCAAGGATAGAATCTAGGCTTGGGTATAAATCCACCCAAGGCTGACTTGATAACTAAGGGATCAGGAGGACAGTGGCATCTTAGAGACCCAGAATTTATTCCAACGGAAACTTTTGTGAATTCAAGATCCATGCATTACGGCTAAGCTAGACACTCTAATCTGGATAGCCCAGGTTCGCACGATGTCGTCAGTTCTCGGAAGTTAAGCAGGGTCAGCCCTGGTCAATATTTGGATGGACCACCAAGGAAGCCTAGGGCTGTGACACAGAGGCAGGCAATGGTAAACCACCCCTGAACATCTCTTGCCTTGAAAACTACACAGGGTCACCTGACAGCAAATAGGTAAAATAAAAATAGAAGGTGATACATGTGATACAGGCAGGGGTCATTTCCTGCAGGAGCGCACAGAAGCGGAGCTCCGGCAGTAAAGAGCCCAGGGGGCGGGCACATGCAACAAACCCCACCCCCTGCTCCCAGCAGCCCTCAGTCAGAGCAAGAAGCAGCCAGGTAAGTTGCAGAAACCCCCCCCAGCCCCCCAGGCCAAAACAGTCCAGTGACGCATTTAAGTTTTAGTCAGGTACAAGCTCTCCCTCCTCTGCGAGGACAGATCTGCATGTTTCCTCCCCCCGCAATAGTTAGCAATCCAAAACAGTCCAGTGGAGCCTGAGCGGTGGGTGTTGCCTTCTGACACACTTCTGGTGATGCTAGGGGGTGTGGCATATGCAAATAAGTTATGCTAATGAGCTCCTCCACCCCTTTTTCTACGAAATGACCCCTGGATACAGGTAGGGGTTTCCCTGACCAACTTTACAGACATAGATGACTTTGGAAGACTAATGTTCCCAATCATGCCAGGGCCAAATTCAGCTTGGGAGCATGGCACGGAGGAGGAGGAGGAGGAGGAGGGACCCCCTGTGGTGAGGACAGCTCTGGAAAACTGTGTGGGAGAAAACCCCTAGCCCCTCTCCTCCATGTTTCTGAGCCGAATTGGGCCCCAGGCCACTTGGGAACATTAGTTCCATGACATCACAGAAGTCGCGTCTGGTGCTCCCTTTGTGTCCCTCGTGTTGTGTAGTGGGGCCCCAAACGAAGGAATATGTCTGATGAAGCAAGCGCTCAGACTTTGCTGCAGAAATAAATGAAAGTTTCTGCGGAACTAAATGTTGTTCATCTTTTCTTTTTTTCTTTTCTTTTGATTTTTTAATTTATTGTTTTGATGACATATTATTCATATACATATTAATAGACATATCATTACTGAGTCCATTGTTTATTTTTGTTCATCTTTAAGGTGCTCCTGCGCTCTGGGTTCATTTTGCTTTACAGGCTAACACCGCTGCCATTCGGAACTGATAGTGACAAGATGGTTCACTTTTCAAAGTTTATTTTGTTTTATTTAGAAAAAAGGACAAGCTGAGGTAAATCTTAACGAGTAGATGTGGGATTTCTAGTTTTAAACTGTTTAAAAAAAAAAAAACTTCCCCGGACAGGTTTATAACCTATAACTATTGAATTCTGCTGCAACTTAGTTACATGCTAGGCCCAGCAAACCCTGTTAGAATATTGTAATGTCTTTCCTCAGTTACCCAGAGAGGAGACTTAACTAAAGTTCTGACTATCTCTACACTCCTGCTCAGCTAACTTTCTAACAACCCTTCTCTGACTGACTTCAGCTATCGGATCTTAACCTGTCTCCAAGCCCACAGGTGCTATTGGCTGGTTCAGAGCACCACTCTCATTGGCTCCTGTGTCACTGGGGTAATTTTGCCACTCTGCCTGTCACAACAACGTACAAAATGAATGACAGGTCCTGAAAATGTAATGGGGGGAAATTATGGAAAGCATTGGCTGAAATTTATTAAAGGCTGTTTCTCCTCTGTCAGTGGGATGAAAAAGGACTAGTTCTTGGTTGTCAAGAGACAGGGCACAAGGAGGGCGAATTCTACCTGGCAAAAGGGATGAAACGTTATCTATATAATTACAGCTTGACTCTGCAAATGGTGCAGTCAAAATATGGGAATTCCTCTTGTACTGTAGGGCTGCCGGCTATGGATTGTGAAATTCATGGAGATTTTGGGGGTGGAGCCTGGGGAGTGCGGGAACTCAGATTCTCCAAACTGAGAGCCAGCTTGGTTTAGTGGTTAAGAGTGGCAGACTCTAATCTGGAGGACCGGGTTTGATTCCCCACTCCTCCACATGCAGCCAGCTGGGTGACCTTGGGTCAGTCCCAGTTCTCTCAGAGCTGTTCTCTCAAGAGCAGTTCTCTCAGCCCCATCTACCTCACAGGGTGTCTGTTGTGGGGAGAGGGAGGGAAGGAGATTGTAAGCCACTCTGAGACTCTGAAGGGTGGGGTATAAATCCAACTCTTCTTCTTCATCTGGAGACCAGTTATGATTCCGGAAGGTCTCCAGCCACCACCTAGAGACTGGTAACCCTACTTGTCATAGCCAGGGCGTTTTTTGTAGAAAAAGCCCAGCAGGAACTCATTAGCATAACAGGCCACATCCAACAGCAGAAACTCATTAGCCTATTAGGCCACACCCCTGACAGCACAGTGCATTAGCATATTAGGCCACACCCCCATGTTGCCAGAAGTGTGGTCATCCAGCCACACCCACCTTTTGCCTCTTCTTCTGTTTACTTTGCTGTCAAAACCCTGGGCTTTTTTTGTAGCAGGAACTTCTTTGCATGTTAGGCCAATCCTTATGAGTTTCTGCTGTTAGCTGTGGCCTATTATGCTAATGAGTTCCTGCTGGGCATGGCCAGCTCAGGAGCCAGCCGGAACTCCGTTCCTGTGCGTTCCTGCCCAAAAATAGCCCTGGTCATAGCACAATTTAGAGGATTAAGCAACAGCTACATTTCCCCTCCCTTTCCAGGATACAATCAATACCTCTGGATCCTTCAGTCTGCCAGACATTAGGACAGAGCGACTATACACTCTGGCAAATGCCTGGCCTCCTGACAGCCTTTTCAGAAATATGTCTTCATCCTCGGTTCTTGGGGCAGTCTTAGAGCTATGTTTCATTTTATGTGGCGACCTTTATGTCGCCCTTTAAGCAAAAACAAGCATTTATCCATTTTTCCTCCGATAGTTTATGCTCCTTCTCCCTTCCCGCGCCTCTCTTTTGCCCTGCAGCAAAACTCCGTTCCCTTTTGTCTTCTTTTTACACTGATTATTGAAACACGCAAAACGCTATTGCCCGACCTGTGCAAAGGAGGAAAGTCACTTCTCTTTCTCAAAAGAAATAATCGTCTGCGCACAACCAAGGAAGAAACAGGGCTGGTTCAAAGTGTTTTGTCCCCCCCTAGCCAGGTGTATGCCTACCCCCTTCAGGGGCTTGGATCCAACCAGCAGGGGCACAAGCCCAAGGAGGTGATGTTGATATCTGAGAGTGAGCCAACCCGCTGTGGTGCCTCAACGCCCACCTAATTGTGCTGCCTTAAGCAGTCACTTGGGTCACTTAACTGGAGAACTGGCCCTGGAAGGGACTCACAAGCACGGTAGATTACAGTCGTCCCACTAGGCCTTCAGAGAAGATGAGTGGATATTTTCACCTGACTATCAAGCCCCCGCAGTTCTGACCACTGTTTATTCCCATAATTCCTTTGCTTATGGACAGCCGATGGTTGTTTCTTAGAAAAGTTGTGAACTTTCAAGGTAGCAGCATCCACAGCAATGTCCTAATCTCCCTTTCCAAGAATGTTATCAATATACAGTCGTGCGCTCTCTGTGGCATTTGGTATGGGTTATAATTAGTTTGAGGATGTGGGTTAATTTTTTTTAAGTCAAATTTTGAATGTAACACATATCCTACTAAGCAATTCTGCCTGACATTTCGCCAATGCAACATTGATGCATTTTAAGACAATGACTTAACTCTTCTTCTCTTTTTGTTCCTGGCCTTCAAGGTATTTCAATGCCAGTTCCTGTTTTTGGACTTCGGGATGATTCCAAAGTGTTCAAGAACGGAAGCTGCTTACTGGCGGATGAGAATTTCGTCTTGATAGGTTCCTTTGTGGCATTCTTTGTTCCTCTCGCCATCATGGTGATCACTTATCTTTTAACCATAAAAGCCCTTCAGAAAGAAGCCAACTTATGCATGAAAGACTTTGGCTCCAAAACCAGGTTTGCTTCCTTCAGTTTCTTCCCTCAGAGTTCTCTTTCTTCTGATAAGTTCTTCCAGCGGTCTCTCAGCAAAGACCTTGGCACCTCTGGGAGGAGGACGATGCAATCCATCAGTAACGAGCAGAAAGCGTCCAAAGTCCTTGGGATTGTGTTCTTTCTGTTTGTTGTGATGTGGTGCCCGTTCTTCGTCACCAACGTGATGGCAGTGATCTGTAAGAAGTCGTGCAACGAAGAGGTCATCGGAGGACTACTGAACATTTTCGTCTGGATCGGGTACCTCTCTTCGGCCGTCAATCCGCTAGTGTACACCCTCTTCAATAAAACCTACCGATCGGCTTTCTCACGTTACATCCAGTGTCGCTACAGAGAGGAGAAGAAACCCCTGCAGCTGATCTTAGTGAACACGATCCCCGCTATCGCGTACAATACGAGCCAGCTTCAGTTAGCGCAGATGAAACGTTTGAAAAAGGAGTCAAAGGTGATGTCCAAGGACTACTCTACGGTGAAAATAGAAATACATCATTTAGATGGGACCTTAACAAACAATGCTAGCCAGGTGAATGAAAAGGTTAGCTGTTTGTGAGTATCTGAGCCCCGACACGGCTGCCATGGCAACGAGGAGATTTCCCCCCCCAGAGACATTTCCACCTAAGCTTTGCTAGTGCGGGGAGAACAGCCCAATCTTTGAAAACCATCAACATAATCACAATTCAATCATGCTCTTTTGTCGAAGAAAACCGGCGTGTAAAAGTGATTGAAATGTTGGTGAGGAGCGGGGTGGGTCATACAATACTTCACCCTTGGAACAAGCTTTCTTAACTTATTTTTTTATATCCTGGATACGTTTCTCAGAAGAAACAGTGGATGTGGTACGACGATAATATAAACCATGACAGATCTTTTGGTTTTTTCTTAATTAGAACATACTAAGATATTAGTAACCCATGAAATAGGGTTGCCAGTTCTGGGCTGAGAAATACCTAGAGATCTCAGGGCAGGGGGGAAGCAGGCCACAACAGAGGGGGTCAGTAGGGCCAGTTGGCATGGGCCTACGATTTTGTGGGGGCCTACTCCAAGAGAGTTAAGGGTCATCCTTTAGCACTGAGAAGGCCTGTGTTTGAGTATATAGCATTGATTACAAAAGTACTTGAGCCAGTTTGGTTTAGTGGTTAAGTGTGCGGACTCTAATCTGGGAGAACCGGGTTTGATTCCCCACTCCTCCACTTGCAGCTGCTGGATGACCTTGGGCAAGCCATAGTTCTGACAAGAGCTGTCCTTGAAAGGGCAGTTCTCGAGAGAGAGCTCTCTCAGCCTCACCTACCTCACAGGGTGTCTGTTGTGGGGAGGGGGAGGGAAAGGAGTTTGTAAGCCACTCTGAGACTCCGAGTGAAGGACGGGGTATAAATCCAATCTCCTCCTCCTCCTCTTCCTCTTCTTCTTCTCCTTCTTCTCCTTCTTCTATTTGAAATGGGGCCTACATTTCCCATCTGGCCTGGGCCTATATCCAACTCTACACGACCCTGGGGGGGGGGAGACTGGGCAGGGTGGGTTTGGGGAGGGGAGGGACCTCAGCAGGCTAGAATACCACAGAGTCCGCTCTCCAAAGCAGCCATTTTCTCCAGGGGAACTGAACTTTTTTAGTTGTAATAGTGGGAGATCTCCAGGTGCCACCTCGCAGCTGGCAATCGTACCCATGAAATCGACAGGTAGAGTTTTTAATTCCTCATCCAAAGCACATCTTAAAACCCTTGCACTAACAAACAAAGAAACAGGGTAAGGAGCAGGGGAAGTAGAAATGGAAAGGTCCTATGCCCCTTGAATGGGGTTTTCAAGGTTGTGGACAAGGCTACACTGATTTTACGCATTGGTTTGGCATTCAGACTATGCCGTTACTAAGGGTACAAATTCTTCATACGATTTTATAGAAAAAGGCAAAGAAAGATGCAGACCCAGATTTAGTTATGTGGAAACTCTCGTCACTTTCCCTTTTCTTTAACTCAATCCCATGTTATATTTATCATTACAATATGACTAATACGTTAATAATCTGGTTTGACTCTGTGTAGGCATACCGTCTGCCCAGCTCCACAAGACAAACTCCCACCCGTTCTGCCCCATCCTGCTCAAATTACCAGGGGGAGCAGGAACGGGGGGAGGGAAAGGAATGTTCATTGATGTCACAAAAATCCCAGTAATTCCCCAAAACTCTATGGTTTTACCATAGAGTTTGGGGGACGTCCTAGAGAATGGTGGCTTCCCATGCCCTGCCCCCCAAAGCTCCCATGGATCGAGGGCAGAGGTCTGGCAACCCTACATGTACATCAGCCACTGCAATTCTAAGCAGAGTTACACCCTTCTGTCAGGACCCACAGCTAAACAATGAAGTACATGCTTTCAGGAAGGGTTTACTTTTATTGAAAAGCCATAGATGCGATAACAGGAACACTGTTAGGAATGGCGGGCTACCTGTGCGCATAATAGGATATAGGGCATTCGTATGCGCCCCCCCCCCCCAGCAATAATCAATTAGGTGGGCTCCCGCGCACGGGAGACTGCTGGACCCGCTAACGGTTGCGAAGCTGGGAACAGAGAAGCTCCCACGGACGATAGATACCACAATCTCCACCAGTACAACTTCAAAGATAAGCGTTGCAGCTCTGAAGCAATTAAGCACATGGGAAGGAATGCAAAGCAATTAGAAAACATATCCACACTCATGGCAGCGTAGCTGACACCTTCTAAGGCTTCTAAAGTCAATGGACTTAGAGGTAACTCTGTTTAGGATTGCACTTTTAGTCTATCGTGATAGGGTCATAATGACAGTGCCATCCGTTTCCAATTCCCTTGGATTATTTGATGCCACAATTAGGGCTGCCATTTACCGGCTGCTGGTGGGAAAAGCCCTGCTGGCACTCCTCTTTCACCCACTGGCACTCAGTGGGGCAGCAAGGCAAAATGGGGGTACGAAACAGCAATCTTCTGACCCAGCAACATTACTTCTGTCTACATAACTGGAAGTGACATCAGTGAGTCATGGGACACCCTAGGATTCACCCAAAGCTCTATGGTTTCTAACACAGCATTTGGGGTAAAGCCTAGAACACCCCATGCTGCTGTGACGCTGCTTCTGGTTATGTAGCTGGTAGTGACATCACAGCATTGGAAGGTCACCGTTTGGGTAAGTCCCACTCTCTCCCCTGTCCCTAGCAGTTTTGCAGGGGTATAGCCACAATGAAGCTATAGACTGAAAAATAGGCTTCTAATGGCAAGGGCTTCTCCAATACTGTACTATATAAACAACTGTTATTAAGCAGGATTGCCTTGGCTGAATTTTTGCACAAGTCGTATTTGTTTTTCGTCGAAAAACCTTTAGGCCCCTAAAATGTGAAGTCTAGTCTGCCAATTGGTAAATCCAGTCTAAAAAAGAGAGGGGTTGCCATGTTATCTTAGATATCATAATTTTATAATTTATATAAATCACAGGAAAAACAGCATGAATAGATCAAGTCATGTGAAATTTGTTTACTTAGTTTTGAGTTTGATTTTTGAGATTTTGGCAATCGAGTTCTGTTTCCTCCTCTCATTTGCCATTCTGAAACCTAACGGCTTTTCTGTTGCTTGCCTTATCGCTGATTATCTTGAAAAATAAATTGAACCTGAATGTTCCCTGTGTCGCTGCAATCAATGTTAATCTCTGCTCCCGGTCTTGTCTTTATTCTGAGCTCTACATTTTCTTGTGCACTGGACTAGAACTAAAACTGGGAAGAGCTTCATGCGAAAGAAAAACTGGCCTGATTTCCAGAAGACAAAGTAATGCCAGTATTACAGTAACATAGGCATGGAATCTGCCATTTGGCTGTCTGCCTTGGATGAGAAGTAATTGTTCTTTAGGCACGCAGCTGAGCGACAAATACTTGCATCCCACAGATTTCGGACCCAAACTGGCAGCTTCTCTCATCCTGATGGGGAAGGAGAGAACCGTCTCAGTGCTTGATGGAATATGAAAACTATTTAGGAGTATCTTTGAAAAATCCATAAAACAGTAACCACCCATTGGTTAAGTTCAAACATCATGAGAAGCCGGGGTTTAGACGTGAACATTTGATTATATTCTGGTTTATTGACATCCAAATGTGAGCTGTACAATAAGTTGTGGTTTGTGGCAAGTACCAAATCCACAGTTTGTACCTGACTTGCTAACTGTGATTAATATTTATTTAGTTAGTTTGCTTTATACCCCGCCCTTCCCACCAAGGTGGGCTTAGAGCGGCTTACATAGAATTTCATATCAAATACAATTAAAACCTGTCATATAAACATAAACATAAAATAACAGTCATTTAAAATACTTCTAAAACGCTGGAACATTATCTGAAAAAGCAAGAACAAAGTTATTCATAGTACAGCTTAGGTTACTGTATATGTTCCAATGGTATTCACGCGAGCTCAGTTCACTCAACTTGTTGTGCGGCAGGAAAGATGGTAAAGTAAGGGCACAGGGGCACTCCTCGGTGTGTAATGTGGCTCCTTAGTCAAAAGCCTGGTGGAAGAGCTCCGTCTTGCAGGCCCTGCGGAACTGTAAGAGGTCCTTCAGGGCCCTGGTCTCTTCCGGGAGTTCATTCCACTGACTTCTTGCTGTGTCTGAATTCAGAATTCCTTTTTTTTTCAACAGCACCAGCTCTTTCAGTTTCCTGGATACAGAGTAGACTGACCTAGCTGCTCTAACAGTATTCAGTGGTCTATGATGCCCTCTCAGGGGACACATATGACATTTTCCACAGGGACGGTTCTCCTCGCGCCAGCATTTGTATTCCTCTGCCACTTTCGCTTATTTCCACCAAGGTATTTGCAGTCCGACGTGCAAAAACGCAGTTTGTCCTCTCTTGCGGTGCAGCATCAGACTTCCCTGTTTCCGGGAATTCCCTTGCTGTGCCAGAAGAGGGGGCAAGCTGCGTTTTTGCTCCTGGGACTGCAAAAACCTCTGTGGAAACGAGCAAAAGTGGGAATACAAATGCAGGTCTCCCTGCTAGTGATGACTCCGTCAACAGGACTGTAGCTCCACCCTCACTCAAAGGGAAATGTTAGGGGTATAAAGGGTCCTACTTAGTCATATGTTTTCATTCAGTATGGCAACATGCATAATCGAAATTGCTCCACACAAAACACTGTTACACTCAAAAACATACTACAGCTGAGCTACGATTAACACCCCATAAAGAGCACTCGCCAGGAGCCGGTGATCAGGTGTTTCTTCCCAAGTTTTTGCTTTGTGAGAGAATGCAAGGTTAAGGAATTCAGTGAACCAGCAAAAAGAACAGAAGAAGGAAGGTCCGAAAATACTTGTTTGGTTTCAGAGCAAAAAAGAAGTTTAGGGAATGCAGTGAAGTGGCTAGATGGAAAGGTGAAAGGGTGGAAAGGAGGATAATCGATTCAGTGAAGAGTTGTCTGAAGATCTCCAAAGTGATCAGACCGTGTGGCTTCCCTGTGGCTTTCAGGCCCTGTGGCTTCTCTAAACCTTTCCCAGCCCAGTTATTATAGCCATCAGGAAAGCAGGCTCAGTGTGTAGCAGCGCTTTCCCAGCAGTAGGGCAGTACAAGAGAACACAGGATAGCATCTGGTGATGCTTCTCAAACATGGGGGAAGTAAGGGTCAAACTAGAGGTTTTGAGTAT